CACACACACACACACACACACACACACACACACACGGGGAGAGAGAGAGAGAGGGAGAGAGAGAGAGATATATCTAATGGTATCTAAAAAGTCTCTCAAAGCCTGCCTCCAGTGACACCCCTCTTCCAGATGAGGCCACACTGTCTAATCCCCAAATAGCACAACCAACTGGGACCAAGTATTGAAATAACAGATGCTATAAGAGACATTCTTATCCAAGCCATTACACTGGCCCTGCCTCCCCTCCCTACCCACCCTCAGAACAGACCCTGAGGGGACTCCTTGTCTCCATTTCCACCTTGTACCACCTCCCCTGGACGTCTTTAGGGATCTGACCTGGACAGAGACCAGCATCCAGATATTTACATCACAATTACATTACACAAATATTTACATTATAACTCATAACAATAGCAAAATTACAGCTATGAAGTAGCGATTTAAATAATTTTATGGCTGGGAGTCACCATAGCATGAGGAACTGTATTAAAGGGTGTCAGCATTGGGAAGGTTGAGAACCACTGGGCTAGAGCTGTAGAGGAAAGGAGCCCTTTTTAGCAGTCATTCTCCTGAGCTCTGGGATCTTAGCATATAAACATTTTCAAGGAGTTTTGATCCTATGACCTCCAAGCTGTAGTCTGTGACTCTTACCCTTAGGTTTCCTGACTGGGTTGTGACTCAGGGATGGGAATTCAGCTGTAGGATGTGTTTCTCTGGTGACTGTTAGAACAGGGCAGTCGTTGCTGATGGGCCCTCATGGAATCATGGAACTCTATGCTCTGACATCATGAACAGGAATCATGCCACATGTCCCTGGAAGGCAGCTCAAGGCCACTTACACAGCAGACATGCTGGCCCCAGCACTCCCAGTCCTGTCTGGATGCTGTGGCGGGTGTTGCTATGGTGACCCCCTCCTGGCCACAATCATCAGAAAGCTTCTTGCAAAGTGGCCTTGCTAGTGTGGCTTCTGATGTCCCGTGTGCCACCTGAGGCAGTGCTAGCTAGTGGAGGAGAAAGTGAAAGATCTTTGAAAGATCTTTGGGAGTCTGGGGGGGGGCTCCCATACACAGCACATTTAGTCAGGCTTCCACCCTCATAGGGGCCCTCTTCTTCACCAGAATTAAGTAAAAAGTTCCGTGTATTGTCTTTATAAAGAATTTGCTGGGATCAAAGGTGTGCTAAATCTGTAGCCCAGCTGGCTAAATCTGTAGCCCAGGCTGGCATCAAACTCGTGATCCTCCACCACCGCCAGCTGGCTAAATCTGTAGCCCAGGCTGGCATCAAACTCGTGATCCTCCTGCCTCTGCCTCCTTCAGCACTTGTGAGGCAGAGGCAGGTGGATCTCTATGAGTTTGAGGCCAGCCTGATCTACAGAGTGAGTTCCAGGACTATTACACAGAGAAACCCTGTCTCAAAAAACCAAGATAGAAAAAAAAAATTGCTTTGGACTGGATGGTGGTGATGCATGCCTTTAATCCCAGCACTCTGGAGGCAGAGGCAGGCGGATCTCTGTGAGTTTGAGGTCAGTCTGATCTACAAAGTGAGTCCCAGGACCGTCAGGACTATTACAAGGAGAAACCCTGTCTCAAAAAAAAATCCATTGGTTTGGGGGGCTTGGAGAGGGTCCACACAGAAGCCATCACAAGTAGGAAAGCACAAGAGTGTGTGGATAGTGGCAAGAGGGTCTCACACTGATGGCCTCAGAGATGAGGGCCACGCTGGCTATATCATCCACCACAGTTTGACAGAGACAGATGGGATGGAAGCCCTCTCCCCAGGAGGGTTCACACTGGTGTCCAGCTTAACAGACTGGCTCCTACTCTATCCCCAGCCTGGACTGAGGAGGGAGTGCCTAGGAGGTACTCAAGAGCCTCAGGCCGGAAACCCTCTGGCCCACCCATAGGTTGCAACAGGGCCTTAATATGCTTTATTTGTGCTGGGTTCAGATGAGTAGACCCCAGTCCTTAGAGACGAGGAGGCACCTGCTAAAGGCAGCTTTGGCCTTCTGACCAGAAGGACATGTTTGTCAACTTTGTGTCACTGTCAAGAGGTACCCAAGAGAGTATGTAATAGAATGGGTTTATCTAGCCCATGGTTCTGGGCATTCAGGTCCAAAATGGCTTTTTTCTTCTTGAGAGCATATGGGGTACGTGACAGAACAAAGTACTTCCTTATGGCCAGGAGGCAGAAGCACAAATGAAGAGGAAAAGAAAGGGTCCCACAGCCCCATTAGGTTATGTCACCAAAGACCTAAGGACCTCCTGCTGAGCCTCACCTTCTGCAGGTCCTCAGCACTTCCCCAGACAACAGCTCCCTGGAACCAAGCCTTTCACACATAGACCTTTCCAAAGGAGGTCAACAGGGTGGGCTGACCTCAGGTTGCCCTCTGTCTTACTCAGGCCTGGAATGATGTTCTTCTCACACATCCCATGGCTGTGCAGTGCCTACCACGCAGGACCATTCCCTTTAGTCTTTGTGGTGCAAGTTTCCTTCTGTGGCCATTGGGGACACCAGCAAGAAATACTAAGTAGCCCATGTAGCTGGTGTCACAGCAAATCTGTGCTCCCTCATTCAGCCCTACCAAATCTCCTTGACACTTGGAAACCTTCACCAAAGACAAGTTTTTCCAAAGCCCCACGAGCTTTTGCCCCTAAAGAAGGAAGGGCCTGCCTAAGCCTGCCTCCTGGCTGTGTGCTGGCTTCTCTGCCCTCTCCCAGACTGCCTGTGGGATTGAACTAATACAGGAAAGTTATCTTTGACTTTTATGGCCCCTTTTCCCTCTATTAAAATGCTCAGAGCTATAAATGTCGTCATCAGCAGCTCATTTATCTTGACAGAAGTGCGGCTCTAAGTGAGCCAGTCTCTGAAGAGACTGCTTCTGTTGCATCGATAAATTCCAGCACAGAGCAGAGGTCAGCCCTCGCAGACAAAACGCCTTCCCACTTGTTAATGAGCCCTTTATGAGGGTGGGAAAGGATGGATGTCTGTGTAAGCTTCCAGGCTGAGTAGAGCACACCTAGAGTTCATGTGGTATCAGCAGGAGATGGGCCATCTGTGATAGGAATGTTCTGTGAGGACACCCGCCATGGCCAGAAGCAACAAGATACTGGTACCCTGCTTGGCAATGTTTGCTGCTGACTTTCCAGTAGCATTGAGACTGGCTGTGTACTGCCAACTGTCAGGTCTCTGGTGCTCCAGGCAATGGGTCCTATAGTACATTACAGAACCTGTCCTCACCTGACTCATGGGACACTGTATTTAAAGACACCTTATATTTAGTACCCTCTGAAGAACAGCTGGGCACCCCAATCCAGACAGTGGTCACACAGCTGTGGGGTTGGATAGAGTTGGCCAGGTGGAAGCATCC